CCCCAAAACCCCAAAACCCCAAAACCCCAAATACCATGAATTCTATTGAACAAGAATAAATTCCAAGAAATTATGTAACCAGGAGAACATTAGCTTTTGATTGGAACAGGACCTCCTTTGCAACCTTTCCGAGGTACTTATCTTTGCTATAATGCTTATTCTCAATTCCTCTATTTGCAAGGACAACAAAATCTACATATGGGGTGTCATCAACATTGATATAGTCTATTAATGCTTCAAAATATCTTTCATCAAATTCTCTTTCCAGGAGTTCACAGTGGTGATTCTTCACCCCAGCTTCATCTAAGAACCCTGATGTTCTTTCCTTAACAGCTTCTGTATCAATGACTTCTCTTGAAACAGTCAAAACTATGACTTCATCTTTTTCTTTATCCATTACTTGAGTAACCGTATTTAGGGCTTTATAAGATTTTGTCCTACCGTCTATACAAACTACAAATCTAAATCCCTTATTTTCTTTATCCTCTCTGTTCTCTTCTCTCTTAATGACAAGCAGAGGGCATACAGGGTTTTGAGCCATTAAGTCTACATTTGAGCCCAGAAGAGTTGGGTCTTCCTTAGCTCCTTTTCTTCCATGATAACCCAGGACAAGAATATCAGACCTATAATTCTCGGCAAGCTCTACTATCTGTTCCTGAGTGGTTAGGCCAGATTCCTTTTTGTGGAACACAAGCTCCCATTTACTGGAGTGAAGTCCTATCATCCACGACTCATAATCCTGTTTGATGATATCAGGCTTGTACTTCATATCAAGATAAGTTTTTGAGTCGTTAGAGACATGTGTAACTATAGTATAGTCATCACTCTTTCTGAGGTTCTTAAAAACTGTGTTAAAGGCACTAACACAGATATCTGACCCATCTACACAGATATTCCATCTGATATCAGTGCTTTTTGACTCTTCAGAGGTTGATTCCATTTTAGTTAGTCCGAAATAAATTTAAATATCAGTTTGTACAATATAGACCACCCTTTAAGGGGTTTTGGGGTTTTGGGGTTTTGGGGTTTTGGGGTTTTGGGGTTTTGGGG